AAATGTCCTCCCTTACATCAGGGGCTGCATCAGAGTTTCTCTTCCATTAACTGCTTCCCTGCCGCTTTATAGTAGAACTACGGCAGGGCAGTGTAAAATCACATATATATACATGATTTGCATCTCCGGGTAGGGGGCCCTACCCGCGCTGCAATTGGCGGCTACAGATGTCAATCACTGGGTCCTGGCTGGAGATTCCCCTCCGGCACTCGGCAATCACTGAGTAACACTGACAAGGGAGAGACCTGTGTGTAAACACAGGTGTAAACACAGGTCTCTCTCCTGTCAGCAGTAACATGCTGCTGTGTATTTCTCTGCATAGCAGGGAAATACACAGCAGCATGTTTCCCTAGTAAAACACACACAGCACACAGTTAACCACTTGATCGCCCAGATGTTAACCCTTTCCTGCCCAGTGTCATTAGTACAGTGTCAGTGCTTTTTATTAGCACCGATCACTGTATTAGTGTCAATAGGGATGTCAGTGGCAGTTAGTCAGTTCTCCCCCCAGTGTCAGAATGCCCGCCACAGTCCCGCTATAAGTCGCTGATCTCTGCCATTACTACTATAGAAAAAATAAAAATTGCAGTATATATACTGCCATTTGTAGACGCTATAACTTTCATGTAAACCAATTAATTTACATGCATTGGGATTTTTCTTAGCAAACACGTGTAGCAGATTAAATGTTGGCCTAAATTTATGACGAAATTTGACTTTTTAAATTTTTTTTTACTGGACATGTTTTATAGCAAAAAGTCAAAAGTCGGTCTTTTTTTTTTGTTTATAACGCAAAAAATAAAAAACACACAGGTGATAAAATACCACCAAAAGAAAGCTATATTTCTGGGGAAAAAAGGATGTAAGTTTCATTTATGTATAGCATTGCATGACCGCGCAATTGTCAGTTAAAGTAACACAGCGCCTTATCGCAAAAAATGGCCTGGTCAAGAGGGAGGGTAAATCTTCTGGAGGGCAAGTGGTTAAGTTCCCCATCAGAGTCCCATCAGGGTTCGCTTCAGAGTCCCCCTTGCATCAGAGTAACCCCTTACATAAGATTCCCCATCAGAGTACCCCTTACATCAGGTCAAAGCAGAGACCATAGGCAGCCTCTCCCAATCTGAATTCTCAATCTGAACACAGGGACAGGCCAGTGATGATAGCTGTGGGCCGCATGTGGCCCGTGGGCCATAGTTTGGAGACCCTGCTTTTACTTAAGTGATTGCATGTTTGTTTCTTGTCAGTCTAAGTGTACTGAATCCAGTGATGGTCAGAATACAAACATTCCCAGAACAAGGCCGGAAATGGCATGCTACATACATATCCCATGTGAGATAATAAAGTTCTAGTCTGCTAACCTTTTTCAAACTATAGACAGTGACTAAATAAAATATAGTACACATAAACAGCGCTATGTCAAAAACACAATGTCCAATTGATATAAAAGAGTAAAAGAAAGAAAAAAACTTCCACCAAAAAAAAAAAAGATAAAATAAAATTATAATGTGAAAAGTTCAATTAATTCCGGTGGTAAGTGCCTCTTTAAGACAAAATGATCCAGGCGCCGGCATCTTCAGTGTGGGCACCCGGCTGTGACAGCTTGCGGCTTCACAGCTGGGTACCCACTGCGCATGCGCGAGTAGTGCTGTGCTTCCTGAATGGCCCGTCGTCTTCTGGGACCTGTCACGTGTCCCAGAAGACTACGGGGAGGAAGGGTAGGAGGACAACGTCCGCTTCCATTCGGCCAGGGCGATCACAGCAGAAGTGGGAGCGGGTACCTGTCAATTTCGGGTACCTGCTCCCCAAAGGTGCCAATCCTTAATGGGGAGCGGGGGACCAATCTTTAAAGTGGAGTTTTCCCTTTTGGGTGGAACTCCGGCTATAACAGTGCCACTGAATCACTTAGGGTTCATTTGTTGTTTGTAAGATATCAAATTCAAACTTAGAACTTTGGGGAAAAAAGTACTGAATCCAGTATCAGAGAGTCATCAATGGTAGCCCCTATGTTTCTACCATGACACCTTTATTTTGAAGATACAGTACTGCAGTTACAAATATATAAAAGAGCAAGAATGTTAAGATGTGAGAGCCTTATGAAAAATTATTTTTTAAACCAGATCAAACCCCATTCTCTTCATTTTTTTAATTCTTAATTAAAATGATATAATAATATCATTTTACATGTTTTTAAATCAGCAGCTTTCATTGAACGAATATCTGGTGATTCTGCCAGGAAGGTCCTTGTTCAGAACATCTAGTTATGGGGTGACAACTGTCTCCCAGTTATGGAGGCACCCTGTTACATACACCCCAGATGAAGACTAAAAATCAAATGGCGCACCGTTTCACAATAAGGAAGCTAACCCAGTTCAATAATGTGCAGCTGATGCTGGGGTGAGTGCACACAGATAAGAAGTGTCCGAAAAAGGCTGGAGAAGACCAGCAGCACTGAGCTACAAAAAAAGGATGGAAGAAAAAATGAAAATTCTCACACAGTGCTTTAGTAAACTAAATATCCTTTAGGTAGAATTAAACCCTACCTGGAAGATAACGCTAACAAAATATCTGGTCCTTAAAAATTTATTTTACTTTCCCATTATAAAGCTGCTGTATGAAAACATTTATGCTAAGATAAAAGCATATCTGAATAGGGCAGCACAGTGGCTAAATGGTTAGCACTTCCAAATGGCAGTATTAGGGCTGTCGGCTCACATCCCAACCATGGCACCACCTGCCTGGAGATTGCATGTTCTCCCTGTGCCTGCGTGGGTTTCCTCTGGGTACTCCGGTTTCCTCCCACACTCCAAAGACATGCTGGTAGGTGAATTGGCTCCTGTCTAAATTGTCCCTAGTATGTGTATGTATGAATGTGAGTTAGGGACCTTAGACTGTACACCCCTTGAGGGTTAGGGACTGATGTGAATGTACAATATATATGTAAAGCGCTGTGTAAACTGATGGCGCTATATAAGTACCTGAAATAAATATCTAAACCTAAGAACAAAAATTGATAGTATTTATTTATTATAGGTACTTATAGAGCGCCAACAATTTATGCAGCACTTTACATATACAGTATATTATACATTAACATCAGTACCTAACCCTCAAGGGCATACAATCTAAGGTCCCTAACTCACATTCATACATACACATATTAGGGCCAATTTAGACAGGAGCCATTTAACCTAACCAGCATGTCTTTGGAGAAAATGAGTTCCCAGAGGAAACCCATACAGGCACAGGGAGAACATGCAAACTGCAGCACAGATGTGGTGGCTGCATTAGTTTTCTTTTTTTTTCACACTTTTTTCCTTTATTTTAACCTGGTGATCCTGCCATTAACACACTTCCTGTCCCAGAATGACAACCATATTGAGCAGTGTCCTGGTAAAACTCCAAAGACATGCTGTTTGGTTTATTGGCTCCTATCTAAAATTGGCTCTAGTATGTGTGTGTATTCATGGAAGGCTAGGTTCACACCTATGCAGTTTGCGTTTGATCCATTTCTGCAGTGCATTTTTGCACATGCGTTTTTTAAGCATTTTTGCCATATTTTTGATGCGTTTTTTCTTGTTGCTAGGCAGATTTAAAATGGAAAACGCAACAAAAATGCACTACTTTTCCTTTTTCCAGCATTTCCATTGAAATCTATAGAACCAAAAACACAACTTTTTGCGTTCAAAGGAGTCACTGACCCTTTCCAAAAAACAAATCTGATAAAAACGTGTAGATGTAAACCTGTCCAATAGGAAATCATGTTAAATGGACTGTCGTGCGTTTCTGCAAAACACTGCGGAAAAAGCTTAGGTGTGAACCTAGGGTAAGGCAGAGACCTTAGATTGTGATTGTGAGGTTGATTTACTAAAAACTGGAGAGTGCAAAGTCTGTTGCGGCTGTGCAATGTAGCCAATCAGCTTCTAACTTTGACAAAAAAACTGGAAGCTGATTGGTTTCTATGCAGAGCTGCTCCAGATTTCGCACTCTCCAGTTTTAGTAAATCAACTCAACTGTGTTAGGACTGCATAATATCTTCCTCCCGTCTCCATAACAGGAGGATGTGTTTTGTAGTCCACTGAGATAGCAGGGAACAATGCTAATGATATTCCAGAAGAAGTTATCAGCTAACAAGGTTTTTGGCAATTTTTTTGCACTTGCCAAACAGATATAATAAAACGCTTCCAATGCTACATTAAATAGATGCAAAGGGAGAGAATAAGAAAAGTTTATTGTTAGAGCTTATATGTAAGTAAACATTTAAACAAAATTTATGTAAAATGTATAGAATTTATAACTGTAAAATGTGTGTAACAATTTAAGCAAAAGCCTTTATTCTCATTAGAGTCATTTGTATTGATATGCACATATTCTCCTAGATTGTAAGCTCCCAGGATCAGGGCCCTCCTAACCCTCTAGTATTGAACTGTATTGTTACTGTATTGTCTCCCTTTATATTGTGAAGCGCTGTGCAAACTGCTGGCGCTATATAAATCCTGTATAATAATAATATATATTGTGAAGCGCTGAGCAAACTGTTGGCGCTATATAAATCCTATATAATAATAATATTTTTTTCCATGTGGCAAAAGGCATTGCTACTACTTCTTCATGTTATAATTAATTGGTAAACAAAGTGCAGCTTAATCTCTTTGCCTATTACTAAAATGTCAATTTGCATCTTTAAGATCTCTCCAGCCTTCCTCCTTCCCCTTCTACCCCCACTCCCCCCCACCCCCCTAGCCTTGTTTAGTGAAAGACAATTTAGCTGAGAGCTGATAATTCCCAATGAGACTAAAGTCACACTTCAGGAGTTCATTTTCCATCTTAGCACTTTGCTGTTTTCTTTGAACTGCTCCATTGAGACACCCACATCTGATGTGACAGCTGTGTATAAAAAGGTTCTTCCCCCCCTCTCTAAGGAACTTATACAGACTGGAGTTGGCTGTCACTTGTGAGTACGCAGGTAGACTGAGGACCACCTATCGCAGCTCTGCAACTTCATGGAAACTCTTCACCAGCCTATTATTAAAATGGAGGAGGACTATACACTGGTCTCAGACTCTGACCCTGAATCTGCTTACTTGACCACCTCTTGGAACTGGAAAAATAACTCAGAAAACTACAGCCTGAGTGAAACACCTTCCCCCCAAAGCTTGTCTCCTGCTGCCTCCTATGAGTCTCCACTCTCTGGCTGCTCCCGTCCACCTAGCTTGGAGGACCTACCTTATGGAAATGATATGGTGGCATACAGGTTGTTGCAGTACCCTGATGGTGAATGCCCGCATGAAAATGGCAAAGGAGGCCATGGCAGACGTGGTCAACACACTCTAAAAGCTGCAATGAGTGCCCAGCGCAGGAGAAAGGCCAGCGAGAGGGAGAAGATGAGGATGAGAGCCATAGCTGAAGCTCTTCATACCCTACGCAGGAATTTGCCACCTATCTACAGCCAGGGTAGACAACCCCTTACAAAAATCCAGACACTAAAATGTACCATCTCTTACATTGGGGAGCTGACCAATCTCCTTAACAGCACCAAGGGAAAATAGACTTACTACTTGTTCAGAACCTGGATCAAATGAGGACCTTAACAACACCAAGTTCTACTGGTAATGGGCAAGCTTGCTGATGGGGAATCAGTGTAGCAAACAAATAACTGACCAGCTTTATCGAACAGTTGGATGCTAAACAGGGTGAGATAACCTATGGACCGGTGATCTCCATCTGATGCCTTAATGATCATGACAATCATTGACCAATATTATGCTATATTGTTGGTTGGACAGTGCTATTATTCACCACTGCAAAAGACAATGTCTGGACATTTTTCAACAACCATATACCAGATATTCTTGCTCATGACAATTATTGATCAATACAATGTTCTAATGTTGGTTGGACAATGCTGTTTGCCACCACTGCAAAAGACTTGACATTTTTCATCAACAACATAATCGACCTTCATGCTTATTACAACCATTGAGCAATATGATGTTCTAATGTTGGTTGGACAATGCTATCAGTTGCCACTGCAAAAGACATATCTATACATTTTTCACCAACCACACAACCTATCTTCCTATAGGAGAAGTAGACCTACAAAGACAAGAGAACTATTCACCTTTTCTTGTCATGTGTGTAGTGGACTATTCTCTTGAAGTGGCATAGTACTGTTTGTATATAGGTAATGTTTGGAATAGCACAAAATTGCACATTTTATGTATATTTATATGAGTTTGTTACTGGTGTTTGGTACTGAATAAATCTGTGACTATTTTAAGTTCCAGGTCTGCTTTTGAGTTAGTACTCCATCCCAGTACAGTTTTGTCTGCTACAATCATGTATCAGCTATTAACATGGGATGCTGCCCACACATTGAGTTATGTATGGAGGCTAACTTAAAAAAACTGACTCAAAGCTGTTAGCTATATTAGCTAATCCAACTCGTTTCACTTTTTTTTTGGAACAAGTCAGAGCATAAAATCTTACAAATAAGAGTAGGAATTGTAAGATCTTAGTGTCTGAGGAAGTAAAGTTACTCTGTAAGTTATTCCTATTGTTCCTCTGGGGTGTCCTTCAGCACAGAGCTAAATAGAATTTACAGATTACCCTTACCTCCCTAAACAAAGGTGTATATATTTTCTTAGAGTCACCCTTTAAGTGGTCTTGTGAAACAACTAAAGCTGGTCATACAAAAATCTAACAGATTCCTCCATCTACATTGCGATTGGACAACTTTTTTGCTGGGCTATTGTATTGTGGATCAATATAAACAGCGCAAATACAAAACCTAAAAGAATAAAAATATAAATAAAAAATATAAAATATATTCTATTTTTATTCTTTTAGGTTTTGTATTTGCGCTGTTTATATTGATTTTATATTTTTTGGTGCATTGCACTTGTGTACAGCAGCAGTTTTATATATATTTTTTGGGGTTATATATTTCTTTGGCGCTGGGGTTTGTGATTACTATTGTATTGTGGAGGCTGTCAGAATATCTGATTAAATGCAGGCACTGTTCAGCCAACAATTTACTGTCCAACAGGGTCACCCACTAAACGAATTTCATGGAACCCCAGAGTTCCTCCAGAGGTTGCTAGCGGTTCTCTGAGCAATGAGCAATTTATGCCTCTCAGGTAAGTTCCCACTGACATCATTGATCTTTTTTAGCTTTCTGCAAGGAGGTAATTATTCCCAATGTCCACAAGGGTAAGGAGCATTCTTCCCACTGATCATCACAAGTTGTAGATATAGTCATTTTTAGCAGGGGTTCCCTAAGACCAGAAAGTTATTTCAAGGGTTCCTCTGTGTTGAAGAGGTTAAGAAAGTCTGCTATAGACCTATTTCTGCTTCTTATGTAATTCCTTAAAGTGGAGCTCCACTCAAAAGGGGAAGTTCCGTTTTAAGGACTGGTCCCCTGCTCCCCGTTAAGAATTGGCACCTTTGGGGAGTGGGTACCTGAAATTGACAGGTACCCGCTCCCACTTCTGCTGCGATCGCCTAGGACAGTGGTCGGCAAGCCGCGGCTCGCGAGTCACATGCGGCTCTTTCCACACTTTAATGCGGCTCTTCTGTGTGCCGGGCGCCCGCTCCCCTCCCTCCTCTCGGGCGGCCGCCCCAAAAGTCAGGACTCTGCAGCTAGCCCAGCAATGGGCAAACTATGGCCCGGCGGACCCTTTTAATCCGGCCCGCGGAGCGTGGCAAACATTGGCTGTCAGGATGTAGGCGGGGCAGCGTGACGAACTCCTCTCCTCTCACAGTCCGCCCTGAAGACCGGAACGGCGCGGGAACACGGCGAGAGGAACGCGCGCGGAACAAAGGTAAGTGAATTGACACAATATGGGGAATGAATTACTATAGGGGGGATGAATTACTATAGGGGGGATGAATTACTATGGGGGATGAATTACTATATGGGGGATGAATTACTATGGGGGATGAATTACTATGGGGGATGAATTACTATATGAATGGGGAATTATATGGGGGAATGAACTACTATGGGGGATGAATTACTATGGGGGATGAACTTACTATATGGGGGATGAATTACTATGAATTACTATGGGATGAATTACTATATGGGGGATGAATTACTATGGGGGATGGGGGGATGAATTACTATGGGGGATGAACTATGGGGGATGAATATGGGGGATGAATTACTGGGGGATGAATTACTATATGGGGGATGAATTACTATATGGGGGAATTACTATAATGAATTACTATGGGGGATGAATTACTATATGGGGGATGAATTACTATATGGGGGATGAATTACTATGGGGGATGAATTACTATGTGGGGGATGTATTTTCAGTTTTAAAAATGTGGCTCTCAAAATAAATTTCAATCGTGGTTTTGGCGAGATTTGGCTCAGTTGAAAAAAAAGGTTGCCCACCACTGGCCTAGGAGATTGGAAGCGGAAGGTGTCCCCCCCATCCCTCACTGTAGTCTTTTGAGACACATGACAGATCCCAGAAGACTGCAGGACAGTTCAGAAGGCGCAGCACTACTCGCACATGCGCAGTGGGCGCCCGGCTGTGAAGCCGCAAGTTGTCACAGCCGGGTGCCCACACTGAAGATGCCGGAGTGGGGAACACAGGACGGCTGGTGAAACGGGCTGCGGGGAGGATACCGCTGGGCCGAGGGACAGGCAGGTGAGTGGCTGTTTTTTAAAAGTCAGCAGCTGCAGTTTTGGAGCTGCTGACTTTTTTTTACAGTTTCACTTGAACGTCACTTTAGAGCCTAATTCCAGCCATGTTGTTTTACATTTTGGATGGAGTGGGGAAAGGTAAGAGACCCTATCAGGTTTTTTTTGCTGTCTGTGATCCCCTGCAGGGAACATTTACCCTCTTTATTTGTCCTATGGTCACTGACACGAAAAGTGATGGGAAATTGTAAATTGAGCAGCTGTCTCCAGAACAAGTGGTGAGTGTACCTATTGCAATGGGGTAACTGATTTTGGGACAACTGTCTAGGAGGGGAACTTCAATCACTGTTGTATCTGCAGGAAGTGAAGTCAAATCTCCCAATGTGACACAAACCACAAAAAATAAACTGATAGGTTTTAAACTCCCCTCCCCACATTCTATCCATAATTAAAAATAAGTTTCCACTTTACATAGAGAAATCTGGAGGGTACTATTGCTATTTGAATTCACTGACCTGAAACAAGTGTGAAAATGAGGAATTCTGACTTAATTTGCTGTATGCTTGTATCTGGTCAGTAGCTTAGAATATGCTGAAATCAGGGAATTACCTTAAAGCAGGACAACTAAGCCTGGCCATACATTGTATATATTTCCTTTAGATTTACCAAAACCATATAATATGAGGTCAAATATAATCACTTTCAACTTGTATGCAATCAGACAGGCCCTTGCACTACCTAGGTTGAAGGTAGATCTAAAGGAAACTGAATAAGAAAATTGTATAATGTATGGCCAGCTAATCAGTTTTATAAGGGGCATCCAATGAGATGCAGTCACCATTCAGTTATTCTGAGTGCCATGGATACTGCACAAACTGCTGGCGCTATATAAATCCTGTATATTAATAATAATACTGTGGTTGTCAGAATACAAGAATCAGAATACAAGATTCAGAATCAGAAGATTTATTGTCATTTTACAACAATCATAAAATGAAACACAGTTGAAGTTCCCTCACATTAAAAAAAGGAATTCCGCGCTCATCATAAAAACACTTAACCAAAAACAACATACTGTAATAAAAAACATAACTCCCCCATCCATTTATTCAACAAGCTCTCTAGAGTCCAAGAGCCGCAAAGATCGAGGAAAGAAGCTATTCCGCAACCTAGTGGTACGAGAGCCAATACTTCTATACCGCCTACCAGAAGGTAGCAATGTATACAGACCATCTCCTAGATTGTAAGCTCCAAGGAGCAGGGCCCTCGAACCCCTCGTGTATTGTATTGTTACTGTACTGTCTCCCATTATAATGTACAGTGCTGAGTTAAATCGGCGCTATATAAATACTGTATAATAATAATAATTACGTGGATGTGAAGTATCCTCCAATATATTCATCGCTCTCTAAAGACACCTCCCCTCCCCTCCCCTGGTTCATCAATACTCAGACTAACTCCTGCAATAGTCTTTTGTGCAGTTTTTATCACCCTTTGCAAGGCATTTAAAACCTGTCATGAATGATCCTTGCCACAAAGAAATGTGATACGTTAACACACTTTCAATGGCAGCTTTATAGAAGTTAAAAAGGACCCAATCTGAAAAGCCTGCCCTCTATATCTTCCTCGGAAAGTACGGTCTCTGATGAGCCTTGCCCACCAGATGGGATATATGCCCTGTCCATGACAGATCCTCCATAATTATTGTTCCCAGGAAGTGGAACTCCTCTACCCTCTCAACCTCCATCCCATTAATCACCACTGGCTCATAACTAACCTCTCGTACTTTCCTAAAATCTGTAATCATCTCTTTTGTCTTTGCTATATTTAACTGTAAGTTGTTCTCTCTTCATCATCCAACTAAATTTTCAATGTCCTGGTGATATGCAC